GCTTGTGATTTGTTCTGGTGTCACAATTCACGACAGGGTCGGCGGGGGGGGGGTTCTGCCGCTCTTGTGCTCGTGTTGGCTTCTTATTTCAGGGAGGGGGTTCCAAGACGATGAGCCGTCCTTTCGGAGTTGCCCTTCTCATGGCGGGGTTCGATGACCGGGGAGCGCAGGTGCGGTGTAACTTGCGTCGTTTCAGGGGGGGGCAGTGCCACGCGCTGGGAAGACTTTTGCGAACTGCCACCATCTCCGCCGTGGTGTTGTCGCGGTCTTTGCTTTCGGTTGCAAAATATTGCCGTTTGGGTTATGTGGTGCCCTAAACCGCATGGTCTCTTCGGGGCTGAATCCCGAGTTGTTGACGAAGCTCTTGGCTTTCGAGATGCAGCATGAGCGCGACAAGCAACACAAGTGTTCCCGTCAGAGATTGAGGGCGAATTTCGCTATGATAGAGAGCTGCAGGCTTCACTTCAAGAGCAGCGGCAGGAGAGTGTACCGCTTCTGCAGCAGACCGCCGCTCATCTAAACAACACGCTTACCTCCCGCTCTCCTCCCACGCCAACGCCTGATCCTACCGTCTGGCCATTTCCTTGCCTCTTGCCTTCCATCCCCAGCTGTTTTTCAGCGACCCTTCGGGCATGTTCGTGCGGTACAAGTGCAAGGCCATCGGTTCGGGGAGCGAGGGGGCGCAGAGCACCCTCCAGGAGGGCTACAGCGACTCTCTCACGCTCGCCGAGGCGGAGGCGTTGGCCGTATCCACGCTCAAGCAGGTGAAGAAAGGAAAGGATAGGACGGGGGCGCCCGGTGTAATTTCTTGGCCCCTTGTGTAGGCCTAAGTTTTTTTCGCGTGCTGGCGCATTCCTCAGCAGCCAATACAGAGGGAGGGAGGGAAGAGGAACGTCGGCGGTTCTTGTCATAATCGCCAAGCCTATACTGTGGCCGTGCCGTGTCCATCTGTTTTGCTCCGTTTGTTCCTCGGTGATGCCTTCACCATTGCGAGGTCTTGCTATGCATACGTAATCCTTTTGCCTCGCCAAATGCGTCTGATTACTTCTCGTTTTTCTTTGTGGGGGGTGTCCGGCGATTGGACAGTAACTTGAGAGGGTCAAGCCACTTCGTTCAATTGACAGCCCGAGTGCAGCAAGCTGGAATATACTTGAGTGGAGAGTACCGGTGGACTCGTGATTCTACTTCGCAGGGGTTCGTGGATCAACTCCACTACGTACGCTTCCGTTTCACGTCTGTATTTGTTTATCAACTTTTTCCAGTTTCCATCAACACCGCGCCGCTCACTCCCCGCCCCGCCGTGGTTGTTGCATTCGCGGTATACTACTGATATCGTCACCCCAGAGGTGTCGTAGACTGTGACGTCAGATACGTGATTGTACTACTATAAATGTTTACAACGTGATTGTGAAAAAACGCCTCTGGCAGGTAATGGAGGAGAAGATCAACCCGGACAACGTGGAGGTGGCGAGCGTAACCGAAAAGGGCTACTCTGTCTACACTCCAGAGCAGCTGACGGAGGTCCTCCAGAGGTTGTGAAGCGAATGTATCTAACTGTTCCCGATTCTGAAGAAACGAACACGGCGGTCCGAGAAGGAACGTCGGGGGTGATTTGCTCCCTGGAGTCCTTTCCAAGCAGCTTCGGTTCGTGTTGAGATGCGGTCTTCGTGCCATGGCGAGGGCGAGAGGGATGGGCACGGGTCCTTCCCTACAGAATCGGAGGCTCTCCGCAGTAGCAGGGCTCCTCGCTGCTGCGTGCGAGCGAGCAAAGCGGGACTCCTCCCCGTAGTGTCGTCCTGTAGATGGACGGCACAGAAATAAGAGTAGCCGAGACCACTTCCTTTGTGCGATAAGTGGATGGTTTAGAGTACGGTAGAACGCGAATGCCGTGGGACCGGTTTTGGAAATACTCCCATGTTCTTTCGGGGCACGCGCAGTCCGGGTTGCTGTTCGGTTGCTGCATGAGTCCTGGCGTCGCGATATGAGCGCGTGCTCTGTGCGGTCGGCAACTCGTTGCGGGATGTGGCAGGGAACGTGAAGCCGTCGCCGAAGCGGTGTTAGACTGGGGATGGTGCCCCGACCCTTTTTTTCTGTGCGTGCTCTGCTTGCCGAGATGATTCGGATGATGGTGTTCCTTCGTGGGAGAACGAGCGAGAAGGGCATGCACCCGATCGCGCACGACTCGCGCACCGCAAAGGACAGCCACAACAAAAGACACGAGAGGAGCGAAGAACACAACGAGGGCCGTCCCTTTCCGAAGATTTGTCCCGTGGGGGATGCATGCATTTGCTTCTTTTGTGCAATTGGATTGTTTTACAAGTAGTTCGTCCAAAACGGCGCGGTGATCGTCGGCGCGGTGCTCGTATGGCAAACCTGAACCTCAGATCGAGTGGTGTGCTGGGATTTTGTACGCGAGCGCGGCCAGGCCTAGCACCCCCCGCGCGTCGCGCACGCGCTAAAAGGCGAACGAGGTGTCACGGTGTCCACCAAACTTTATTAAAGGGGGAGGAGATGAGCCGTCCAGACGCCCGGGGTCCATTTTTTTGGGCGGTTTTCCCGAGAGGCCTTGTGAACTTTGCTACCTCAAGGTACAGCATATCCACAAGTCAGCTACATGTAACGAAGAAGGTAACCAGCATTTCCACTGCTGTGCTATCGATCTATAAGTCAGTGCTGACTTGCTGACCAGTAGCTAAGTGGACATGCTGTATTGTATTCTACAGTACATCTTATCACAAGGTTTTACCGTTGCATGGCCCAAAAGGGATGGGTTCAAGAGAGGCCAACAAAACCTGACTACCTCGTCGCTCTCAGATGTTTCGATTGCTGTGAAAGGCAGGCATGCTCTTGGATTCCAAGTCGGAAAAGCTTCCTGGAGCAATTTTGGCGGCCTGTCGAGGATATGAACACATTCCCGGCCAGAAAAATGACCCGAAAACAGACGGTTTTGGCGTCCACTTGCACACCGAAGCGGCGCTGCATACATACGCATGTTTCCATCGTGCAATCCATAAAGGGCACTGAAGGTGGCATCATGAATGTCTAGATTCGGTGAAAAGAGGCACACGGTTGCGCGAGCTTGTGGGTGCCAAAAACGCTGAAAATATGTGGAAGTAGGACGCAGGGCGAGAGCAGAGAGTTTCGCGACCAGAAACAGCCGTCATCCTCCTGCCACTTGTGCTGCTCGAACGACATCGGATGCCCCGCCCAAGATTCCACCTGGCTTGCACTGTCAACAATTGTTTACCCTGTTGGATCAACGGCAAGATGCATTTCCTCAGACCTTCGTTGTGTCAGAGATTCGATCGGCGGGTAAATCATGTATTTTCATCATCCGCGATATTCCGTCGGTGTTCGCTGAACTCGCTGGGTGCAAAGGCCACCCCCACAAGCTCGCGACATAGCTCGCTTCTTTTGGCCCGAATTTCGGGACACCATGATGCTACCGGCCGTTGCCTCATTGCTTGCACTTCAGGAAACGCATGTACAGCACCTACATGTAGACGCCGAGACACCAATGCCGAACGTATAGCGGCGGTCGGCGGGACTGTCAAGATGAGCTGGCTCTATTCTAGAGCCTTTTGGGGTCGACTTGGTCGACTCGGGGTGTCGTTTCGGGAGCTGTTCCGCGGTGCGTTCCCCTGTCGACGCGCTGCATTTTTCTGGGCGCGAATATTTGCAATCCATGGATTATAGAAGAGAACCACAGTCCAAACATCCATATGGATCGAAACCCCGGGAAACCGCCCGGAGTGTCCCCGAAGAGGTTCTTCTCCCTCTCCTATAAAAGCAGCGATAATCACGGCGGCGGAGAGCCGTCTGAAGGCGGCGACACGCACCCGCACGCTGGGGGAAGACGAGGAGACAACACACAACGATAACTGGTGAGATCCCGTCCCGACAGGCGTCCGTGCATCCTCTGTGTCTGTGCCTCACCCTCACCCTCTCTGTGATGTTTTTTTTGGAAATAAAATAGCAACGGCCGCACCCGCACCAGCGCCATGTGTGTGTTGGTCTGTCTCCTGTGTTGCAGCCTCCCTCATGCTGTCCCACGTGTCGATGCTGCTCTGTACCTGTTGTTGCCGTCGTACGTACGTTGGTGATCATGTGCCTGCACTGGTGTGGTCAGGCCAGGCCAGGCCCTGCCTGTTGTCCTTGCCGTATAGTCCGGAGTCTTTTCTTCTGGCTGCTCGGCTGTATGGTGGTGCTACAGCAGTGCTGGGCTGGTAGAGGTGCAGGCATTGTGCACGCACTTGCCCAACCCCTTAACTTCATGTGTCTACCCTCCATGTTCGCGTCGTGGGACCCGTGGCCTGCCGTGCGGTAGTGTCATTGCTAGGAATGCTTCCATCCAGTGCTGCTCTGTCGGCCTCTTACGGTGCTCGTCATGCTGGCGCTGCGGGAGCCTTTGCGGGCTACCCTGTACAAGCCCACCCCGTACAGCAACAACAGCAGCAGATATTGACCACCAGCCCTCCGCCGGAAACGCAGGCGAGACGGGTTGATGTTTGACAAGTGCGGTTCGACGTGACACCGGCAATGTTTGTTCCGTGGGTGTAGCACGCCAGTGGATTGTCGCTGCTGTGCTGTACCTCGTGCCTTTCAACGCGTGCACGTACGGTTCGCTGTTTTCGTGTACTCAGCGGTGGACGGCGAAACGTTTCATTTTGTCTTGTCTTGTGATCAAACGTTGACATGGTGTCCTTCCATTCCGCCGCGTGGTGGGTTTCGCGTGCGGTTGCAGGCCATGCTTTCACCTCGCACTGGTCTGCCGTTGGGAACTCCGGCCCCTGTGGGTGCTCCCGATGCTGGGGCCGCCGGAGGTTTTGCGGGCTACCCTGTACAAGCCCACCCCGTACAGCAACAACAGCAGCAGACATTGACCACCAGCCCCCCGCCGGAAACGCAGGCGAGACGGGTTGGTGCTTGACACGTGCCGTTCGGCGTGACACCCACAATGTTTTTTTGTGTGCTTTACTTGATGTTGCTGCTGCTGTTCCCCTTGGCCCCATGAAAAGAGCACCGGTATCTGGCATTCCCCCGGTCCACATCAAGGCTCCCTGTAGAGGCCCTGCCATTGTTTTCGTGGGTGTAGCACGCCAATTGATTGTCCCTGCTGTGCTGCACCTCGTGCCTTTCAACGCGTGCACGTTCGGTTCGCTGTTTTCGTGTACTCAGCGGTGGACGGCGAAACGTTTCATTTGTCTTGTCTTGTGAATCAAATATGGGGCAAGGAAGATTGAACTCGTTGGAGTAGGTCTACAGTGGCTCCCGTCGTATCCCACGGTTTGTCATGGTTGGTAGTCATGATGCCGCATGACGAACGGCCCTTGAAGCGTGGTACTGCTGTCGCCTCCACATTGTTACCCTGTTTGTCTGTGACACCGAACCATTGCGAGAGATCAGCATCCGTGCCCCAGTTGATGCTGTTCTGCCAATTAGCTCCCTCGGTCGCGTTATATAGGGCAACCAGTACGTCACGATCGGTCGACGCCATGGTGGTAG